AAGAACATCAACCATAATTAAGTATAAAAAATAATTTTTTGTTCTCAGTAAAACCACGTTTTATTTTTGAATTACATTCTTAGGAAAGGAATATTTTTCGAACTTTTGGTTGATTCTTTGCTTTCATGGGATATAAAGCCTTATCCCCTTTCTCGGAACTTTATCATTTATTAATCAGTTTATTTACATAAATAAATTTTAATTCTAAATAAGCGAAAATTAATTAAAAAACCGCTATCTGGTAGTGAAATTTGTAATCAAAAGAGTGATACAAAGAAACACTATATGTATACATACGCACACTTATATTTATATACATATGTCTGATTTGATTTATCTTTTAAAAAATAATTGTTGGAAGAGTTTTAATGAAGAAATAAATACAAGATTACGTATAGTAGTTATAACAATGAATTAAAAGTTGCAATACAAGAAATAATTATGAATAAAATAATTTTAAAATTGTACTTTTTTATTAATGTGCTAAAAAGGAGAAAAAAAATATTTTTTGAAAATTTGAAAGTCCAAGTACAAATTGTAAATGTTAAGGGTGGGAGATATACCAATCAAACATTTTTCTAATTATTAAATATATTTTTTTATAATAAAGGCAAATTTTTTTTAAAATGATTTCAAGGTTCATATGTTTTTTTTTTTTTTGATAAAGGTAATTTTTTTGAAAAACACATTGTAATATTCAAGGAAGTTTGATACACTAAATATGAATAAATTTTAAAAAGAATAAAATCTTAACTACATACACTTAGTCACAAAAGTAAGTATGCACTTTATGCCTCCAGTCAAAAAGTCTAAAATTTAAAAATAAATACAAGATATTTATATTTCTCTCTCTCTCATATGTATATATATATATATATATATATATATATATATCTTTGGAAAATATACCTTATTGATTGCAAATTACACTTAAGAAAATGGAAAATGAACTTAGCCTTAATTTACTTTACAATTTTAAAGATCATTTCTTATCTACCAGTGAAAGCTTACATCACAAAAGTATGTATGCAATCTGAAAATTTAATGATTGTAAGTCATTTAAAAATCTAGATACACTTCTTTATCATTATGTTGTATGTTACGGAAAGTTCTGATATTTTTTTCTACAATTTTTTTATGTTAGACGCTAAATAATTATATTACTAATGGCTCCTCGAGGAAAGGGCCTATCCCAATATCTGAAAATTTTAATTATAAAACTGCACAAGGAGAGCAAGTCTCAATGGGAAATTAAGATTATCGGGAAAAATCCAGCTACATTTCAAAAAGTTATTGAAAAATTTCGGACTGAGGGCAGTAATAAAAATAAGATTAGAAATGGTCTACCATTCATATTCATTGATAGAGAAAGTCGGGATATTATTGGAAAAATTAAGGGAAATCCAAATATTAGTGCTCCAAAATTAAAATCTGATTTAGAAAACCATTTAGGTAAATCCTGCAATCCTGAGTCAATTCGCCGTATGCTACGAAAGGCAGGATACCATGGTCGGAATACGTGAAGAAAACCGTTCGTAAGCAAAGTTAATCGCAAAAAAAGACTTATCTTTGCAAAAGAGAATGGAAAGTAGGACCAGATTTTTCAGGAGTTCTGTAATTTTTTTAGATAATAGTGCAACATCTGTGGATCAGATAGACACCAAAAAGTGTGGAGAAAAGCAAATGCAGAGCTCGAACCAAAGAACAAGAGATGAACTGTTAAATACGATGGTGGTTCAATTGTGGTTTGGGATTGCATGTCTGGGGCTGTTGTAGGTAATTAAGTAATAATTGATGGAATAAGGAATCACTTCAGTTGTCTGAACATTTTAAAAGGTAATCCATGCCATAGCGCTGCAAAATTAGGACTTCAGAAATCGTTTATCTTTCAGCAAGATAATGATCCAAAACATACAGCTCGAACTGTACAAGAATGGCTGCTCTACAATTTTCAAAAACAGCACAAAAACCCTCCCCAGTTTTCCGATATTAACCCCTTTGAATACTTGTGGGATTACTTTGATAGACAAATTAGGAAACAAGACAGAAAAGAATAAAAATGATCTCAGAAGAATACTCTTGGAGGAGTAGCAGGAAATACCATCTTCTGTGACCCAAAATTTAGAGAACTGAATATCATCCAGATTAAAACAGTGTTATAAGCCTAAGGCTACCATACCAATTACTAATTTTTAGTTTTTGCAAAAGAAACTTGCAAAAATTATTTTTTTTCTCTTTCCCTGTTTTGCCTGCATACTTATTTTCGCGACATGAATTGCATATTAATTTTAAGTTAAACTATTTTTGCAAATTACATGGTTGTATTTTTGTGATATTTTTCGTGTTAAAATTAAATATAAGTTAGCTATTTTTAAAATACATTTAAATTTTGAAGATAATAGGATTATATATCTCTCATTCTTTGAAAAACATCAACACTATTACAGTACATACTTACTTTTGTGACTCAGTGTATGCTAAGAAGGCACACCTGTTACTTTACATCACTCCGGTTTTCGTTCACATTAAAAAGAAATCAACCACGCGCTGCAAAACGTTTAAACACTAAAATAAAAATGAAGTCATTCATGCGAGGATGTGAAATACAAACAGTCAATATATATATATATATACGGTTCAATACTAAATACCTATATTTAATTGCTATTTCTTATTTCAGCAGTATGTATCGTTTGTATATATGTGTATTATAATTACGAAATTCTTTATTTGTGTACTTTATCTTTCTCAAAATGCTTTTCTAAACAGTTTATGAAATTTTTCTCCACGCTACAATTCATTTTATAATTATAATGTAACAATTTTTTTAAAAAAAGTATAGCTATACGATAGATTTTATAAATATTTATTTGATATTAGCTCTTCCTGAAAATAAACATTTTATTTTTCGTTTATTTCGTAAAAAAAGAAACCACTATTTTAAAACTAAAGTTGAAGTTTTTCTGCGTAATAAGAATGTGGAATATCCAGTTACTTTTTTTTAAAAAAATCCGAGATCGTATGATTTACATGATTACTCTTTGAGACTAATCAAATATCTAGTAAATTGTCTATTTGAATTTTAGAAAACTATTTTAATTATTAGGAAATAGATTATCACATAACTTTAAAAAATATTCCATGAAAGTTGTTTCCACCTAACTAACATTACCTTAACTGATTCGATACTTTTAATGAACGATTAACGAATTATGTCTATTTTTGTTTATTAGCTGAAAAAATAATTGATGCTAATACATTTTAAAGTGACCTCGATAGTCTATTTGTCATGGTCACGAATTCATGGCTTCCGTTGAGTCGCTGTCTGGAGTCCTGATGCTGTGCTGATATGCACATTACATCCGTCGAGATTCCAAGTTCTCTCGCTGACATTGTGGGAATGTTTGGAGAAGGAAGGGCCAGTGCAGGTGTCATCTTTGTGCCTTAATCGAGGTTTCAAATCACGAGATCCATCGCCAATAGTCCTCGAGTTGCTTCGAAGTGCAATGTTAATAAACAATTAATCAAGTTGTCACTTAGCCTAGTGGTTAAGGTATTGAACTCGCGGCCGGCGGTTTTCATTCAGTCGTGGGTTCGAGCCTTGATACCACAAAAGACCTGCCATGTAGCAGGGGCTGATGCACGTCAAATCTGTCAGGATCCCAAGTGCTCCTGTTAGCGTGGCGTAGTGTGGAAGTTAGAAGAGGGGGTGCCAGCTCAGGTATTGTCCTTATCATTTAACTGAGGATCAAAATTACGGGGTCCGTCGTCAATAGCCCTCATGTTGCTTCCAGTGCGACGTTAATGAAACTAAACTAAACTAAAAACTGAACCGTAAGACAAGGGTATTCAACCTTTTAAACCTCAGGAAACCCTTTGAGCTTACCGTTTAGTTGAAGAAACCTCTTGATCAAAGATAAGAAAAAATAGGTTATTAAAGCTTTATATTACTCAAATTTACAAAATTATTATTGTATCTCTATTTCATCACAATAGAAACATCTTAATAAGACAATGAATAGTAAAATAGCTAATGGGTATTTTTAAGCGGGGGTGTGGGTGTAACATATATTCTATAAATAATAAACAAAAGCACAAAAATATTTTAAATCAACTACAAAATATTTTAAATCAACTACTTAATAAAAGAAAAATAATTAATGTCTTGGTTGTGATTGTCTTTTATTGCAAAGTATTTTTACGTCTTGAATAATTGTTGAAATCTGCAACCTAATGTCATCTTCGGCATCCAATCTATTTCTATATTTTGTTTTTGTCGCATCGTATAAAGAGAAAGATTTTTCTTATTAGGTTGAAACATATGACATTAGATGTTTCACAACTCTTTTGGCAATTTCAAGATATTCTTTTATAATGTCAATCCAAAAAAACATAATATAAATTTAACTAAAATTTAGTTTCAATTGAGTCTACGGTCGATATATCACTTTGGTGTTATCTTTCTTTAATTGGGATGTTGGACCAAACTGATTTTTACGATTTTATCGGGATTAATGTTACCGTCTACTAAAATATTATGCAAATTAGGAAAACATTAAAAATTATCTTTCAAAATGTAATCTGCCTAACATTTCAATTTTCAAAGGGTTTCGTCAAATTTACTTTATACCTTGAAAAGCGTGAAATAAGTGACCAAATAAGTGGGCGATTCTTTACCTGAGCCAAAGAACGGAGACTAATGTGGGACCTTCTGCATCTCGATTAATGTACTTGTAGGACATGAATTTTACGAAATTTAAGATTTTATTTCATCCACAAAATATTTATTGATATTTATTTTTACAAGTTAACTGCCTTTCAGAATTCGATATTTTATAAGAGTTAAACTTTTACAAAAAGGTTAGCACTTGGAACCCCTATTAAAGTTTCAAAGAATCGTACGGTTCAGCTGAACACAGATTGAAGACCACTGCTGTAAGGCAAATATTTTTATCCCCTCTCTACACCCAAAAAGAAACCTAATTAACCCCTCTACACGAGCAGTCGTGGCTGAGTGGTTAGGCGAACACATCCATAAAAAAAGCGTGTCGCACCCCAAATGTGTTACGTGGGTTCGAATCCCACCGACTGCCAATTTTTTTTTTTTTTCTTTTTCCGCTTACAATTATAAAAAATTTTTTCCTTCTCTCCCGGAGTTCTAAATGAAAACACAGACATTGAAAATTCTGTTTTTTATATCATCAGTATTTGGGAGGGTCTAAGTTTATGCAAATTACCTTTCTAAGGCTATGAAGACAAGTTTGGGACTATATTTGTGATTTATATTCTTAATTCTTCGATTATAATTACAGATATAAAGGTGGAGTTCAAATGTGTTTGTAAAAACTGTGGTATATTACAATTAATTTCTTTTACAACTGACCTTAAATTTTTTTTTTTTTTTTCATTTTTAAAATAATACTATGAATAATTAAC